TTTGATCGAAACGGTCACCAAGGACTACTATTTGAATGTTATACGTCGTCTGCGCGAAGCTATTCGTAAAAAGAGGCCAGAATTATGGGGCGACAACGCTTGGTAATGCCGCATCGCCGCATACTGCTTTGATTTTTCACGAGCTTTACGCAAAAGTTTCAACCAATAYCGTGTCGCAAAYACTGTATTCGGCTGATTTAGCTTCGTGTGACTTTTGGCTATTCAGCAAACTCAAATGACCGCTCAGGAGAAACCRTTTTCTGTCAATTGATACCATTAAATATGAATCGCTCCGTGCATTGAAGGCTATTCCAGAAATTGACTTTAATAATTGTTTCAAGAATTGGAAGAAACGTTGGCACAATTGTATTGGAGCCAAGGGGAATTACTTTGCGAAGCACGTCGTAGATGTTAAATAATAAACTAAAAAATTGTAAATTATGAACAAAACCTTACTATTTTTGGYTCATAGTAGTATCTGCTCCTCGGACGTGACTTGAGTAGACGATGCAGAAGTCAAGATTTGACTGCGTTTAACAAGTTATTGATTTTGCTGGTTTAAGAAATCGACTGGCAACCTTAAGGGGTATTCTAGTCTAGAAATTTGAAAAAATCTAATAATTTTTTTTTCATTATTCGATAGTTTCGATATTCAAAATTCGAACCATCTATCTATCTATTACACTGCCCGAAACTTCAACACGTTTTTCTCAAAACTCCTTTTTTTGATGCGGTAGCCACAATATCTCGAGTTCTAATCAGTCGATTTATTTGAAGTTTAGCATGAATATTATTTAAATATTATATGCACATCTCTATCACTGGAAGCAAAAAAAAAAAAAAAAAATTTGAAGTTTATTGAGTTTTGAAAATTGAAATTTTGAGTAGCCGCCCTTTTATGAAATTTTTTTTTTTTAAGTAAAAATATCTAGCGCTTCTTTTATTTTTTATTAATTGTAGAAAAAAGCTCGAAATGCGAGCCTCTAGACTAGAATAACCTCTTAAAATCTACAAAACTGGAGTCGTCGCCCGGAAGCAGTTCGAGTGAAGCATTTTCGGTAACTGAAATACTCAGAAGCCTGACACAGATGGCAATAGCACTTTTGGGAATAAGTTTCGACTTGTCCGATTATTTATTGAAGTCACTGTAGGTATGTATGTATGTAGATACATAATATTCATACCTTTGTGTCAAACTTCATGCCTGCAACGCACAAAGCGCTTCCTGCCACAGTCAAACAAATCTACCCTTAAAAAGGCGYGGGGGTAAAAGCACAGTCAAAAACGACAAAGCTCCCTAAGCAAAATGTTATACATATGTACACACATACTTACGCATATAAAAATATGTATACAAAACTAGAAAAATGCCAACTTATCGACAAGCAAATGCGTAATTGCGATGCTCTCTACGCGGCTGGTCTGCTTTTGAATGAGCCCGCAGAGTCTCGCTTAAATTACTTCGCTTCAAACAGATGTTTACATATATACAACTTTGCATGATATATASATATGGCACATACATACATATATAATATATGTAACTACAATCGCATTTGTAGAATGGAGTAGCAATCGCTTGCTACGAGCCTATCCCTACGAAACCGGTAAGCGCAGACTACAGCCGACATTCTTGCGCAGCGCAGTCGATGTCTATACGCGGTGCGGTAATCCAGACGAAAATACTAATAAATGTTAAACATATTAATATTATTTAATGATAAACAACACATATACATACGAGGTATAACGCGCTGTGCTTAATCTAATCTATGCACCGTAGATTTCGGTAGTAATTTTTTTGTTTGAAGCGAGCGCAGCATTCGCGCAGACAGCAGCGAGCTGTGCGGTAACGCGTCTGTGAGAGGCACGAGCAAGTTTTACTAAATAAATAAATTAGCGCGAAAGAGGTGTGTCAGTTTGCAGCAGTAGCAGGCGAGCTTTGAGCAGTGTCACCAGCAACTGGATTCTAGGAAATCTGAAGCGAAATGGAGAAACGCGCTGGTGAGTACCAAAGGCAAAGGCGGAATTCGTTTCGGTGAAAGTAGCTGGTTACTCAAATGTTTGCATTTTATAGACAAGCCCACACATACCGACCCTATAATCTCTATTTTGGGTAGCGATTTGGGTCCTTGGCAGCTTATTATCTGCTTATGGATTTTTCTCTCGAAGTTTCCCACTGGCTGGGTCCAAATTTCGATGGTGTTCTTACAGTCGCCTATTCATGCTACCTGCGTTGATCCTGCTAACGATACCGCCGTTTGCTCCGGGCACTGCCATGCTTTCGTCTATGACCATATCAACTTTGAAGAGAATATAATCAGCGAATGGAATTTGACCTGCGATCGTCAGTGGCTAGCCAGTTTGGCACAGAGCTTTGTTATGATTGGCATAATGCTGGGCAATATTATATTCGGACTCTTCGCCGATAAGTGAGTACACATACATACATCACAACATATTTATTTGTATTTCTTTATTGATTGTTTATTGTATAATCTGCGCTTTCTTGCAGATGGGGTCGTCGTCCCATGTTCGTGAGTGCCTGCGTTATGCAACTAATTTTCGGTTGTCTGGTTTCTGCAGCGCCATGGTTTTGGCTTTTTGTGGTGTTTCGCTTTTTGGATGGTTTTGCCACAGGCGCTACCATGTCCACAGGGTGAGTAAACAACTGAAGTGGTTACTTGAAATTCGTTACTCAATAGCGTAAGTATACTCTACTCTTCAGCTTCACAATTATCATGGAGATTGTGGGCAAAAGCAAACGTGAAATAATGGCCATACTCTATCAGATACCCTTCAATTTGGGTCACGCCACTTTGCCGTTATTCGCCTACTATCTGCGTCACTGGCGTTGGTATCATCTTGCCTTCTCATCATTCTCGGTGTTATATCTGATATTTTATTGGACCGTGCCAGGTACGTATTGCGCGCAAACACGAATTCAGTCAACACACCTTCACTTAAAATAAATTAAATTCGTTCGCACACATTTCAGAGTCACCACGCTGGCTCTTCACCACCGGTCGCACTGACCGTGCCGTAAAAATACTTGAAGCCGGTTGCAAGCGCAATAACATGCCTACCGATAACATACGCACCGAACTCGAACAGGCCGCATTAATTACAGCCGCCACAACGACATCGAAGAAGGGCAACATCATTGATCTTTTCCGTCATCCGTATCTCTGTCAGAAAACCTTGGCGATGGCCTTTAATTGGCTAGTAGTATGTCTGGTTTATTATGGCGTCTCACAGCATATATCACATCTAAGCGGCAATGTCTTTATGAATGTCGCGATAGGCGCTACGCTGGGTGTGCCGGGCACACTCATATGCGTGCCGATGACCAAATATCTCGGACGTCGCATAACGCTCTTCCTCTCAAATTCGCTCAGCGGCATTGCTTTGATGATTTTGGCTTTCGCGCCATCGCTGGACAGCACCATGACTGTGGCGATGGCTACAATTGGTCTCTTTGGCGCATCGGTAACGTTTCCGAATGTTTATCTCTACGGCGGTGAACTGTTTCCGACAGTGGTGCGTAATTCGGGTGTCGGTTTGTGTTCGTTTGTTGGTCGCGTTGGCTCAATTATTGCACCATTCATATCTGGCTTGTCGACTCGTGGTCTGTGGATACCACCGGCCGTGTTTGGCGGCTTCTCGCTGGCAGCAGCTGCTTCGGTCTTTCTGATGCCGGAGACACGCGGATTTCCTTTGCCCGAGACCATCGAGGACGGCGAGACGTTCGGCAAAAATAAGAAGACGTCAAAATTGTAAATGGAGCCCTAGTAAACCCTAGTAAATTTTTATTATTCAAGCATTATTTTGAGACATTCTATTGACTGTTATAAATTGCCATTACATACCGAATTATGCATTTACGTTCGTATGTGCAAATATTGCTATGCAGGGAAATGTGAAACTTTACAATATTATAGCTGATTATAGTAATAATTATTGCAGATAAATAAAATCTATAATTTTTATGTAGTTTGAGATAAATGTTTTTAATTCTATGGTACATCTGCACTTCCATAGCAACCAGAACTGATTGATTGTAAAATATAGAGTAAGTATAACTTTAATGAAAGAGAAAAATCAATTGGAATATATTTGATAAATTTTCTTGCCATTTACTAAGCCCAAAATGCCATAGAAGAAAAATTCTTCGAACATTTCGGATTTTTTAGCAAAGATGGCATAATAAAAAACTTGTTACTCCCTCAATTCCGGTTGCAAAATGTACTAGCTAATACAATATATAACCTTTTTTCATTAGGAAGTTCCGAAAATCCTATAAATTTATTTGTAGTCGCGAAAGTTGTTCTGACAGCTATTTCACCAAATAAAGCGTATCACCTAATTTTTTGTGGCTAGCCTATAGCTTGAGCATCACTACCACGGATGGTGTTTGGGTTCACATTCAGATGTTCTATTGTTAACTAATCAGTTGGCAAAAGATCCCCTCCCTGTTCACCATAAACTTAAATTGTTGTTACTTTCTTCGCTACACCTTAGGTTGTAAAAGATTAAGAAATTTACGACAATACAGTAAAATATTTTTAAAAGTAAAGTTGTTCACATAATGCAATACAATTTGTTATATGTTATAAACTACACCAACTATTTATGGTAACCACGAGGCACTGAAGTAAACTAGAAAGGAAAGGGCTAAGTAAGGGTGAAATCGAATATATCATATTCTTGTTACTTGCACGGATTAAAATCAGATATGCACCGTTATAAGAAAAAACACGCTTCCTCAATTTTATTAAAATAATACAAATATTGACCGACGTAGGCGATATAAAGTCACCCGGAAGTGCAAAAATCTTTTATATTAAGTATATGGGAGCTCAGGGAAGTGTTGACCCGATTCAACCTATTGGTAGCACACATACATATTATTATTAGGAAAAGATTCTCTCTAAATTTTAATTATAAATCTGACACATTGACCAATATTTTCGATGAAAAGTCTATATATACTGGGTCAAAATATTTAGTAACTAGGAGCTCAAAGTTCAGACATAGCGGCAAGTATCTTGTCTCCTGCCATCAAACAGTCGTCGCACCACGTCACTATTGATAGTCATAACTTTGAAGTCGTAGTTAATTTCGTCTATCTTGGAACCAGTATCAACACCATCGACAATGTCAGCCTGGAAAATTCTTGCCAAGAGGTGCTATTTTGGACTGGGTAGGCAATTGAGAAGTAAAGTCCTCTCTCGATGAACAAAAACCAAACTCTATAAGTCACTCTCCGGAGTGCTGTATAAGGCACTCACTGACAGAGTTCAGCGATGACCAGGCAATGTTCTGAAGCAACTTGAAAAGTTGGATTTGAACCATTACTGACCAAAAAGGTGCATACTCTAAAAGCAATATTCATGCAGAGTTTTATAGTATTTGCTTCTTGTTTTGTACCTTGAAAAATAAAGAATCAGATGGAATTTAGAATAGTGTTATATGGACTGTAGGCGTGGCTGTAGTCCGATTAGCCCATTTCACGCAGTAACATAAAATTGTCAGAGGAATATTACGTACCGAATTTGATTGAAATCTGTAGGACGAGTCTTGAGATATGTATGTGTTTTCATCAAAAAGTTGGCGTTGTCGCATTTTTAATAGTAACGTTGTAAGGGGATTAGCGGGGTTACCATTCGATTTCATCCATTTTTACACTGTCGGTAGGAGTTCTTGTCTTATTTGTGCGGGGTGAATTTGGTTGTTGTAGCTTAAGTGGTTAGTTATGTGTTCATTGAGCTTACGATGTGGTGGGCCACGCTCGCTTTTTCGAAATCACAGATGCCCAATATCCTAGTTAAGTGCTTAGTTATGGTATTTTATAAGTTTTCGGTTAAGTCGGTCAGTGGTCGGATTACGCCCATCTATGAAACATACTTTTTTTTACCAGGAAACGCGCATACCACGTTTCATCAAGATATATAAATTTCACTCAAGTTACAGCTTGCACGGACGGACAGACATATTTCAACTCATCTCGTCATCCTGATCATTTATATATTTATATAACCTTACATCTACCTTGCTCATTTTTAGGTGATACGTACTACCACTACGTTAGGTTAGATGGCTGATCAAATATCGCACGTGGACTACTATATGTAGACCTTTGTGTTCACATAGAAAAGAAGAACTTCTGTGTTCGAACTATAAATTAGCCGAACGGTGAGATGTCTGAAGGTATGCGTTCCCAAGTGCTTAAGTCTTGACCCTCCTAACTAGGGAGAGACTCACCTAATTGAGGGCAAAGAGATCAGTAGATATCTTGCAATCGATCTTGGGTACAACAGCTTGGAGAATCAAACTATTATAATATAGCAACATGTTGCAAGAATATAAAATTGTTACGAAAGTATTCAACATTCATTATTGAGAGAAAATCATATTAAAACCTTCCTAAAATGACAACTTTGTGATATAAACTCAACCGAAGAAGCTAAATTTAATATGTTGAGTTGATGTGGAAAACGTCAACCAGAGGATTGAAATCGTTTAACATACATATGTTATATTAGGGATTTGAGTTTTATACTAATTCCATTCATAATTAGCGGTAAATCACATAATTTTCTTGGAAACTTGTCAAAGTCGAAAATTACTATATATGCTATATTGAGTTAGAGAAAGGGACGATTTTACTGATTTTTTACTAACTTCTGATATTGCTCAGGTGTATTCCAGGACATATTTTCATGCAAATTCATAAATATAAAACTTATACTCTGGCCGACATATTCAGCACAGTGTTTATTATGATAACGAAAATCATTACATCTAGTATGTGGGAGTAGTCCAATACTACATATTTTCGGCATTAAACTATATTACCTATATGCAGTATTAAACGTTCAGTTAATTTTGCAAATATTGACCAGTACATAAGGTATAAAGCCGACGGGAAGTTTGAAAACCTTATATTAGGTATATGGGAATAGGATCTAATTTTGTCTATTATTGTCATTACTACATATTGCTAACAGAAAAAGATGCTCATTAAGCTACACCATCACAATATACAAGTCAAACGGATGTTTGAAAACCCCGATGTATAGTTATATGCGGCTAACGCAAATTTTCATATGAATTTTCCCATCTTAGGCCTAAAGATGCATCGTTATTAAAAAATCACATTATCTTATCAATGCCATGTCCATTGTCCAATTGTGACACCTGCTCGTATAAAGCGGGACCACGTTACTTACACCTAATGAACACCCGTGTGTTCGATTCTCGGCGTCGACAGAATTGAAAAAATATTTATTTATTTATGTATAACTACATTGCACTCACTTGTAGTTTATTATATATTATACTATACAATTATGTACATATATAAAACCGAGATTATATTATCTTTGCTATAACTAATAAATTCATAAATATATAGTATAGTATATACACATATAGAAATATGACACTGCATCAAACTGAATATAAACCCAGCAGCAGACGTCCCCAAGTACATGAAACCGGTACAAACTCTATTTGAGGAGCAGACGATTGTCTGAAGTCAAGCCCAAGTGACTCATTGGATTAATTTAAAAATATTCTGGTAATCAAATAAATAACAACTTTGTGACAGCCTCGAGTTGACATTGTAAAGATGTACTAAATGTATGTGTGGTTGAAATTTGTGTGTACCTTGTTTTCAGTGTTTATATTGGGTATATTGAATTTGTCAGTTATTTTGATTTTGCAGCCAGAAAACTTTGACTTTCATACAATTTATATCCTGCAGAAATTTAGATGTATAACCAAAAGATACTGTTTATTAACACGATCGAAGATTGATCTTTTTCTCCCTTCTGTGGGATGGCAAAATCCAAACGTCATCGTTTAGAAGTCATTCAGAGCTATATACATATATAGTTTGGATATACCATTTATGTAGAGGCATCCTATTTTCATTTTACGCATTCGTTAGTTTTGTCATCCTATGAACTATGATCGTCACAGAGTTTGATTTGTGCTCGTCGAGGGAGGACTTTTCTGCTCAATTGTCTACTCACAAGTTAGCACGAATTATTCTGCGCCTGACATTATTGTTTGTGTTAATACTGGTTTCAAGATAGACGAAATTATCTACGACTTCTAAGTTATGACTGTCAACAGTGAAGTGAGAGCCAAGTCGCGACCGTTTTTTTGATAACAGGAGATATTTCGTCTTGCCCTTCACTACCAGACCCATTTACTTCGCTTCTTTATCCAGTCTGGAGAAAGCAGAACTAACGGCACGGGTGTTGAGACCAATGATTTCAATATAATCGGCATACGCCAGCAACTTTACACTCCTATAAAAGATTTTGTCTTGTCGATTCTATTCTAAAGCTCGAATGACTTTCTTCAAAAGCAGATTGAAGAAATCGCACGGTATGGAGTCCCCTTGTTTAAAACCTCGTTTGATATCGAACGGCTCGTAGAGATCATTCACGATCTTGATGGAATTCAGACATAACGGCATAAAGACAGCTTTTTGACACAATATGCTTGATAGAACTTTATATGAGATGTTGAGGATGCTTAACACAATGTAGTTGGATTGTGGAATCTCCTCTTTTGTGGATTGGGCAGAGCACATTTAAATTCCAATCGTCGGACATGCTTTCGTCCGACCATATTCTACAAAGAAATTGATGCATGCTCTTTATCAGTTCTTCGCCGTCGTGTTTGAATAGCTTTGTGGACAATCCATCGGCCATGCCGCTTTGTTGTTCTTTAGACGGGTAATTGCTATTCGAACTTCTTCTTGGTCGGGTAATGGAACCACTGCTCCATCGTCATCGATTGGGGAATCGGGTTCGTCAATATCCTGATGTTAGGCTTTCACTGCCATTCAGGAGGTTGGAGAAATGTTCTATCCATAACTTTTCTGTCAGCTTTTCAAGCTCTTCATACTCGTGCTTGCTTATGGCACTTTATAATTTTTCGGTTGATGGCGTTTTGTGGTCGTGGCAGTGGTCCGATTATGC